GTACCCCCATGTATCACCAGGTGTCACCAGGTATCACTAGTACCCCGATTGGCTCCAGACTAGTTATGATGTCATTAAACCTGCAGGTACAGCCAGGTGCTAAAGTAAGAACAGAGAAACCGTCAAAATGACATCATACAGGTGTTCAGGTGGCATTACCTGTCTGCCTGGTATCAACTGCTGCTGCAGGGGATCAGTCGATTCCAGGAACCAGGAAACATGTTTCAAGTGTTGTCTCAGTTGAATCTCAGTCGAACTTGAGTAGATTCTGAGTAGAACATTGGTAGAGCTTATGTAAACTCTGAGGAGAACCTCAGCAGAATCCCCGCAGGCTGTGAGTAGAACTTCAGCAGAACTTCAGTAGACTGTGGAGAATCTTACTGAATATCAGTAGAACTTGAGTAGACGCTGTAGAATTTCATGAGGACCCAAGTAGACCCTGAGTAGAACCTCAGTACAAACTGAGTAGACTCTGTGTAGGTCCTTGATGAGACCTTCAGTAGAACTTGAGAAGACTGTCCTTCAGACCTCAGTTGAACCTCAGTAGAACAGAGGCAGTGAATATTTGTTTGCAGGAAATGAATGTGACCTGACCCCTCCTGTCACCTGATTGGTTAATCATCAGTGTGTGTCTGATGTTGCTCACCTGTGCGCTCCAGGAGGGTGGGGTCATGACACACCCAGCTCCTCCTCAGCCAGTCAGAGAGAAGAGCTACACAGTGGGGCGGAGCTACGACACCGCCTCCGGCAGGATCTTCGCTATGACAACCACGGATGACAGCTCCTATGTTACCATGATGACAGAAAGCGTGACGGCAGGCCAGCAAGTCCAAAACATCCCAGTGTCCACCACTGATGATGTCATCACAGGGGGACCCCTGATCACCATCCATGAGGTGAAAACGCCAACCTCACCATCAGAGCCGCCGCCCACAATCTGTGGTACCATCAGCGGGGCTCAGACCAGTCGAGGCGGATCCACAACTCTGGACCTGTGTGGGCCCGGAGTCTCTGTGACGTCACTCGTGTCCCCGTTCTCCCCATCTAAATCTCCTCTGGGCGAGCTGAGCCCGGTGCTCGGCAGGACGTCGCCCTGCATGGCCAGAGTGGTACGCTGATTGGCTGGTTGGTGGTTGGCATGGAAACAAGCATGAGGAGCAAACACAGCGAGTTCACGGCACCTCGTTAACCTTCAGCAGCCAATCAAAGCGTGGCTGAACGCTGGCTCGTCTCAGCCGTTTCAAACTGAACACCTCAGCTCTGACACACTGCAGAACCCTGAAGGACCAGACCCAGAGACCAGGACCAACGCATGGGCCGCCTGGACTCGTGCCCGGTCCAGCAGGTCTCCTCCTGGTCTGGAAAGTAGGTGCTGCAGGAAAGTTTTAATGTTTTTCTGCCAGAAGCTTTTTTGTTCAGCTTTGGCTCAGTAAGAATCAGTTTTGTGCTCCTCCAGCAGGAGGCAGTGAGGAGCTGCAGTGTTCAGTTTAAACTCTCCTCAGCTTCTCCCTTCACCTCCTCCCAGACGCCATTTTGTTTCTGCTCCTTTGATCAAAATGGAGCACAGGGAACGCCAGCTGGTTTGCTTTTGTTTTATCCTGATCTTTGTTTCCTTGTTCCGTGGGCTTTCTTGTCTCCTGGGGGGCGGGGCTTATTTCTGTTTTACTGATTGGCACTTCTTTGGTTGGTTCCATCGGCTTCGTTTTGTTTTTTCACTTTGTGTGAAGCTGCTGCCTTCTTAGAAAACCTCCAGGTCCAGTCCAAGTATCCCAAAGCTTCAGCTGTTAAGGAACCAACAGAGAGACAGAAATTACTGCAGAGAGACAAAACAACGCAAAAAGACAACAACTATCACAAACAGACACAAAGTTACCAATCATCTGATCTGAGAGACAAAATCCTGTCACATGATTATTTAATGTGCTGTTCACCAGCTAGCACACAGTGGTTAGTAATTATTGACTGATTACTAACAAACACGTTAACTCCGCCTACCTGACCCCGCCCAGCATGGCCGCAGATTCTATTCAGTTTCTATTCGTTGTTGACGTCATCTTTACTTTAACATGGGATGTGATTCAACAATCTAACATTTGTTTATTTGTTTGTTTGTTTGCGCAGCCTAAACCTACATTTGATGAAATGTCTCCTGAGCTCACAGCTCTGCTGAAGTCAGCAAGAGAACAAGAAACCTTCAGAGAACACAATTTGCTGAAGGTACCTGTCTGTCTCTCTGTTTGTCTTCACACCTGTGCTACAGCTGAGCTTACTGAGCTGTGGCCCCGCCCCCTCACCCCGATCACGTGATCTATTTTCTTTCCTGTTTCAGACTTCAGAGAAAGTGGAGACAGTCTTCCTGCTTCCAGCTGAGTCACATGACAAGGACCAGCCAATGGCAGAACAGGTAGCAACTGCAAGCCTTTTGGGCCCGCCTCCTAGTAACCCCCCACCCCCTCCACCAGGGGCCGGTGACGTCTCAGAGCAATGGAACTGTGACGGCAACGATGCTAACAATGCTAACCAGGCTAATAGCCCGGCAGGCAAACATGATGTCAGCGATGATGATAGCAGCAGCCAGACAAGTGATGATAATGCTAGTGAGGCTAGCGAGGATGCTATCAGTGTGTTAGCACAGGAAGCAGTGGAGGAAGCCATGGAGGCTGCAGTCAGACAGGCTAATGATGCTAACAATGCTAACCAGGATAGCATCAATGCTAACTTCGCACTCACCCATGGTGAGCAGATGCAAGCTAGCATGGAAGCTAACAGCCCAACCATACCCCGCTCTGTCCTCGCTGGGACGCAGCATTACCATGACAGCGAAGACTCCGACCACTCACAGGAGGATGAGGGGGGGTGGAGCTTTGAGGAAAACTCCCCTCCGCCCTCTTTGCCCCGCCCCACATCCAGGCTATCGGCCAATCAGACGCAATCATCCGCCCACAGCGACGATGATGGTGACGAGTCCCAATCCCTGCAGGAGGTAACATTTGTGACATCTGCCCATCTGCCCCAGACAACTGCCCCTGCGACACCTGCCCCTATTAAACCTGCCCCTGTGACACCTACCCCTTTGACATCTGCCCCTGTGACACCTGCCCCTTTAAAAATCTGCCCCTGTGAAACATACCTCGCTTCTTCTTGCCCCAAAGAAACTTGCCCTGGTAATTATGAAAGAGTGGATGTGAGTCTGTGCTGGTGGTGAGCGTTACCATGGAGGGACAGACTGGTTTTACTGGGACTGGTGGTGAGCGTTACCATGGAGGGACAGACTG